TGAGGCAATACTCTTAAGTGAAATAAATAGGAGACACGTGTAAATACTGAATAGTTTCTTTGGTGTGAAAAACTAAAAGTGTAAATAAGGATCAAAATGTATAACTGATATTATGAAATAGGAAGAAAAGGTCTAAAGGAATAGGGGACACAGGAGGGGTTGGGGAAAGGAAAGAAGGGAAAAGCAAAAATATGAGAAAAGGAAAAAATGGAAACAAATAATATGTAAACAGGGAAGGGTGGAGGGGCTGAAGGGAGGGCCCGGGAATGGGGAAAAAATCAGAACCAAGATACATCATGTACAGGTACAAGCACTCAATGATGAATGTAAACATACTGTATACCTAAAATGTACCAATAAATAAACTTAATTTTTAAAAATGTAAAAAAAAACAAAAAAGTTTTCACAGTGTATTTCGATCACACCTCCTCCATCTGTCTAATCACACACATTTGCCACATTACCAACCACGAAGTTGACTGATTGTGCCTCACCATCCTTACACGGGGTGAACCTGTCAAAGGATAAACTCACATGTTATAACAAGTGGAGTCCCAGAAGAAATGTTGTCCCTGACAGTTTTAGAAGCAATGCTCCCTTTGGCATTTACTACATCAGCCCGTGAAGAAAGCATTCACGCTATGTCCAAAGGATGGCTTCTGCTTTAACAGAAGACATCGGTGGTACTCTGTACTTTGGACACAGAATGCCCTCTCAAACACTGTGTTAAAAAGCTTCTGTTTTGGTCTGCTTTCTGTCAATATGACAGAATACCTGAGATCAACAACTTGAACACGGTATGGTTTAATGTGGCTCATGGTCTCAGAGGGTTCAGTCCATGGTCGGCTGCTCCAATGGTCTCAGAAGGTTCAGTCCATGGTCAGCTGCTCCAAGGCAGAAACATCATGGTGGACAGGCATGGGGGAGGAAAGATGCTCACCTCATGGCAGCCAAGAAAGAGTAAGAAAGAGAGAACGGAAGGAACTGGGAACAAAACACAGTCCCCAAGGCCACGGGCCCAATGACCTACTTCCTTCAAACAGGCCCTCTCAATAGTCCATCCAATTATGAATCTATCAATGGGTTAATCCATTGATGAAACCAAAGGCATCATGAGCCAATCACTTCCCAAAAGACTTACCTCTGAACACTGCTGTGTTGTAGACCAAGCCTTCCACACGTGAGCCTCTAATTAAAAGACCTTTCAGATCTAAACCATAACTTAGTGCTATTTGGGGGCCTACTAGGAGGAAGTGAGGTCACTGGAGGCGTGGCCGGAAAGGGGATAGTGAGAGGAAGTGAGGTCACTGGAGGCATGGCCTAGAAGGGGATTGTGGGAGGAAGTGAGGTCACTGGGGGTGTGGCCTAGAAGGGCATTCTGGGACCCTGGCCTTTCCTTCTCACCCTTTTACTTCCTGGCTGCCATAGGTTGAATAGCTTTCCAACTCTGTGCCCTTCCACCGTGATGCTTCTGCCTTGCCACAGGCCCAAAAGAAATGGACCCAACCAATTATAGACTGAAACCGCCAAAACTATCATCCCAATAAACCTTTTTACCTTTGAAAAGTTGGTTATTTCAGGTACTTGTTACAGTAGCAGCACGCTAACACAAGACAGATTAGGCAATATTTCAAATCCATGTTTGATACTAGCTTTTATGTCCTGTACGATTCCCAGTTCTAGAAGTGTATTAACTATCACCCGAAGACCAAAGGGCATAATGAGGCCATTCTCAGACAAAGAAAACACTGGCCTCTGCTTTCATTAAATGTATGGGTGGAGAAAATGAAGTTTAAGATGAGGACCACTGGGGAAAAAAGGAACCAGCAGAAAGCACTTTGCATTTCACTGACAAAAGAAAAAAAAAAATCACAGCATGCTTGATTCACATTCCAAACACAAACCCCTGAATGCTCCAGCTTTCTATACTCTTCATTTTGCAAAAGCTGGATTGTGAATTCATTTCAATTCCCCTCGAACTTCCCTCAAATTAACTTTGCAAGGGACAGCTTTTTAGGAGAGAATTGGCACGTGATGAGACAAGCAGACCAATCATCCCCGGCAGACAGACAGAGGAAAGCCCCTGGGGAAGACAGACGACACTTAGGTTCAGTAAATGAGGCTGAAAATTGAATCAACAGCCGACACATGCACCAGCGACAGCCAGGAGCATCCACCAGCAATGTTGGACAAGACAGGGGGTGTAGGTACTACCTCCAAAGCTTGCTGAAGACCTGGATATCTGGCGACCTCAGCCAGGGGCTCCTGGCTTGGTTCCAAGGAATCCGCAGCGGGGCCAACTTCAATTTTATTCTCAGGCTGCTAGAAACAGAATTGTCCAATTGTTAGTCTAGCGTAAGCTTCGGGGAGCTCTCTCCTCTTGCCCTAACGGACAAGGAATTCTATTTACCGAAAAAGAGAAATTAACACCACATTTATTATACTCCATTAATATGGTAGCCTGTCTTTACTCAGGAGACTCATCTCAAGACACCCAATGGAGTTCTACAGTTTGGATGGGACTAAACAGTATAAAAATACGAACAAAATTATGACAGTAGTTTTCAATAAAAGTAACGACAAGGTGATCTTTCTGTCTTTAAAAAGCAGGGCTAGGGATTAAGCTCAGTGGTGCTGCCACCTGCTGTGCAAGTGCAAGGTCCTGAGTTCGATTCCTGGTACCAAAAAATAAAATAATAAAAAATAAAGAGTAAAGACAGTACTTTCAGACCACACTTGACCACGAGTAGCTAAAACCGTGGAACTGAATGCCTCAGGCGAAGGGACCGATGTACACGCTGGTGTAAATCCTACCAAGAGTTCTAAAATACCAACTGAGCTGTCCATGCCTATCTTTCTCATTTCTGAGTCTTGCTAATACCACCAGGAAAGGCAACAATGAAGATAAGTTCTGGAGGAACAGTTAGATATTCTATGTTCATGAACAACTCAAACAGACTCATCCAACCCAACCAAGCACACTGATTCCAAGCTGGTCAAGCCAGACACTGGGCAAAGGCATAAGAAATCTAAGAAAGCATATGGCAGCCTCTCTGGTGTACAAGGAGCACAAATCCTCAGGAAAAGGCCCAAGAGACCAAGAGATGATGCACGTGTGAGTCGAATAAAGAAGATATACCGAGATGCTTTGGGTTTCAGCAGACTGTACCAAAGGAGGGGTCAGGGACTGTGGGTCACACGTAACTCCAGCTGAAGCCTCAATTTCAGGACACTCTACCATCTGTCACAAAGAAAAAGAGCAAATGTAGGTTAGAAACAATCCCCTGTGCTGTACAAATAAATGCAACTGAACCCCCAAGTACCAATATATATATACTCGTTTTGTTCGCTGTGCCACCACAATGCAAATGAAGGTTGACACTGAGGAAACAGGTCTGGAGTCCCCCTCACCGCTATCTGCTCTCGTTTCTTCCTCTTCTTTGCAAGCTCAAACCCAACTCCACTTTCCAGCCACTGTTCTCCGTGGGATTGGGCAGATGGGAGGACCACAAGGTCCACGGCTGGAAGGAAAGCACTGTCCTCATCCTTTCTTTCCCCGGTGGTTACTGTATGACCTGCAGAGTGTCCCTAAAGCCCACGTGCTGACATCGTGGTACTCCAACCTGTGCAGCAATTGGGAGGTGCTGGAGGGGAGGCCTAGCGGGAGGAAGTCAGCTCATCATGAACATGGCTTTGAAGAGCTACGGACACCCCAGTCACTTCCTTTTTCTCCCTTCTGCTTCCGGGTCATGAGGTGGTGTCATGGCGAAGCTTGTCAACATGGTTGGCTTTGGGGTCTGCCTGGGGAGTCGCCGGAGCACACTTCCAGTATGTCTGGGTGGTCATACAAGTGTGACTTTGGCGTCTATATCTGGTCCCCGGCCCCTTCCTCTCTGGCACTGCTCTTCTGCTCTGCTTCCTGCCCACCATGAACTGAGCCCATCCACCATGATGTTTCTGCCCTGGAACCAGCCAGTGATGGACTGCATCCACTTGAAACATGAGCCAAGTCATCCCTCCTTCAAGCTGTGGATGTCAGGTATTTTGTTCCCGCAATGGGAAAGTTCACTAACACAGACGAGCTTGGCTGTTGACTCTCCTGTTGTGTATCTGTTATGCTTTGGATCTGGAGTGTTCCCCATCAGTCCATGTGTCCAAGGCTTGGTCCTCGGCCTGCAGTGCTACTGGGAAATGCTGGACACTTTAAGAGGCGGGGCCTAGTGGGAGGAAGTGAGGTCACTGGGGGCGTGGCCCGGAAGGGGATGTTGGAATCTCAGCATCTTCCTCTTTCTTCCCTTTCTCTCACTCTGCTTCCTGGCCGCCATGATGTTCTGCCTCGCCACAGGCCCAAAGTGACCATGCACTGAAACCTCTGAAACCCTAAGCCCAAAATAAACCACCCTGTCTTCCTCATTTACTTTGTCACAGTGAGGGAAACACGACCAACACACCCACCAGACAACTGAAGAAAAAGATTTCTCCACGCTATCTCAACCGGAGTTCCATGAGAAAATGAAACAGTAGAGAAAATAATTCAGGTCACCCTGCATGAACACCTCCTGCACAGTGATGAAGCATGAAGTCTAATCTTTCAGCACAAAGGACTAATCCCTTCAGAACTCAAAGCTGAAGAAAGGCTGTTCTAGCAGAAGGAAGAGCAGAAACTGGAGGATGCTGGAGCCCTCAGTGCACGCATGGAGTTCAGGATCCCTTTGCCAATGACGTTGGATGGAACCCAAACGAGAAATAAATTTCACTTACGCAGGGGCTGTTAGAACAGCCAGCCTACCCTGACAAATACGCCGTCAGGAAGCAAGCTTGTGCCCACAAACGGAGTTTCCTAACAGGTCCCAAAACACGAGTGTCTGCCATACAGGGCCAAAGACATCTGGGTCCTCGTGACCCCTCACCGGAGCCGCCCTGCAGAACTTTCAGCACAGGACGTCAGCGTGCCAACTCTGGGTACCTCGGTCTCACTGATGCACTATCTGGACAGAGATTTGGGAGTGAGGTGACCAAGGATGAAGCTCGGTTGCTTGCATATTCAGCTCCCAAATTTCTGGTCCCCTACGAAAAAGCCCAGTTCACTATAGAAGGCATTCCGATATCAGCGGGGAAGTGAAGTTTCCATCACAGAGACACAGGTAGTGAAGATTACAGAACGGGGTACACAGGTAGTCTGGGTCCTCATGAAGCTCCCTATCGAGAGACATGTAGCAAATAATGACCACGAGATGGCCATGTCCAGTTCTATAAATGTCATGATAGAAAAGCACAAGCAGGGTTCTAAGGACTCTCATCTATTCTAAACGGGGATGTGTTCCTGGCACAGGAAGGGAGGTCATAAAATAAAATAAAATAAAACCAGAAGAATAGGAATTACAGTATAGAATGACAGGAGACGGAAGTGAGAAAAAAACCTACTGTAAAAATCAGTTCAGCATGTGACAATGTCCTGGGGCAGATGTAAAGAAGATAAAAAGGAATTTGTCATATGTAAAAAATTATTGGACATGGCCAGAAGTCACTGTTGGTGAAATCCAATAAACATTAAAATGTGAAGATAATGCTCCAATCAGGGATTTTTGTTTTAAAAATGTTTTGACTATTTTACCTCATAAAACTGATAAGCGAAAGTTTCGTCAGCAGGAAGTAGCAAGGTGGTTCCTGGGGGTGAGAGGGAAAGGGAAATGGAGAGATGTTGGGGAGCATATACAGGTTCAGTTGCACAAGCTGAGTACGTTCTGGAGACCTAACATACAACATGGAAGGAAGAGAAGGACAAGGAGATGGAGGAAATGGAGGAGATGGAGGAGGTGATGGAAGAGGAGGAGATGGAGGAGGAGGAGGAGGAGATGGAGGAGGAGATGGAG